GCGGCAGCAGCAACGCCAACTGTGTCAGAAGCAGCAGCAGCAGCAGCAACAACATTGGCAGCAACTGCAGCCAAAGCCAGTTTATTGCCATTGTATTGTGCGACAAGGCTAAAAAACTGGTAAAGAGTCGCCCCCCAACTGCTGCTCCTTGGGGGCTGCTGCAACGGCAGCCTGCTGTTGCTGCTGCTGCTGCTGCGGCTATGGCAGTGACATCATCCCCAAGACAGGCAATTAAAACTAATGTATTTGCCAGATTTGTTGGATGCGATTTTCCAAACATATTGCCAACTCATTGCCCACATTGCCACAGCCATTTCAAATGACCCAAAAATGACTTAACATTTGTGGCAGCTGCCCCCCTCGCTGCTGCTGTCGTTTGTCTGCTGATTGATGCAATTTTATGACATTCGCGTGGGCGCTGACTGAAATGTGCTTGTAATTGTTTTTAAATAGCCAAAATGCACCGGCTGAACTTGGCTAATAGAAGTCCAAGCTGATTTATCTATTGCGTTTACCAACACTGAACAGACATTCGCTTAATTAATGCATATTTTAACAGCTAGACCCTGAAGTCGACTTAACTCATTTGCCTAACTGGCCAAACAAACGCGGCGCCTTTGACACTTGCTTACTGTTGTTGTTGTTGCTGTTGTTATTATGACAGAGCCTGTCATTTTGTGTTTAACTCAAAATGTTGTAAAATGTATACCATTATCAGTTTATTATAATTATTCGTAAAGCCAACTTTCAGTTTTTCCTTTCCACTTTCGGCCCGCCTTCAGCTGCTTTTTGTTTTGCTTCTTTTCTTTGGCCTTATCAGCGACTTTTGCAGCGGGTTTTTGTTTCCCGAGAAACATTTGCTGAAATGTCATAAATTTGCTAATTTATTGTTAATGTTCTTTTAAGTTAATTACGCCAAAACAAAAGGGGCAAAAAGCCTCTTAAGACACGCATACAAATTGCGGTTGAACTTTTTTACATTGTTAAAACATCATGTTTTTCTAAATATAAATATATACATATGTATATATATATATGTAAACGTGTTTCAAGTGTATATACTATGTATATATATATAAAGACAGGCAACTGAGCTCGGCTCAAGAGCTAGGCTCAGTTAATGAACTCAAACTTAAAGCTGTCTCAAGTTAAATTGACTTTGTCTTGCCAAAACTTTTTTCATATTTATTTTTGGAAATTATATTACTTTGTTAACAGTGAAACATGTTATTAAAAATTGAAAATTTTGTGTTTGTAAATAAAAATAAATTTTCAGTTTATTTTTATAACAAATTTAAGATATTTTTTCTTTCATAACTCACAAGATTTTCTCCATAATTATTTTTTCTCTCCATTTTGATTAAGTTAATTATAGCCTGGTGCTTGGCATGTTGCCCAGAAGGCGATTTATGAACGGCAATTAGTTGATTTATGTTAATTTAATTAAATGGCTTTTGACCCAACATTATGCATGGGTCGCATTTAATCGAAAGTCTTTATATGAATTGTAAATAATGAAAAATGTATGAAACTTGATATGCGACACATGACACAGGGCAATTGTTGTTGTTGCTGTTGCTGTCGAGCTGCCTGCTGACAATTTCGTGACAATTTATTGGACATATCAATGACAAAAAAGGCCACAAATGCAATTGCCGCAATTGCAATATTTGGGATTTTTTTATAGATTTTTGCGGCACTTTGACAATCGCTGCAAATCCAAAGCCAAATCCGAATCAATGCGACTCGTGTTGCTGCTGTTGTTGTGGCTTTGTTGGCTAATTCTAAAACGGTTTGCTTATATAACTGACAGCGACAATTGCTGTTTTTGTCTGAAACTAACCGAAAATGGTCAGCAGCCAAAGTTGTCAAATGCCTCAATGCAAACTATTAATTAAAAAAGAGAAAACCCGAAAATGCTACGAATTTCGTTTGAATTTTCATAGAATTTAGATAGATATTTAAAATTCAGATATAATCATGCCAGGCAGAAGCTCAATATGCACATTGCCTTAAGCCTCCTTACCAAGTCACCCAAGTCATCCTTAGCCAGACTTTAACAATAACAGTTGGCAGAGCGAAGGCGCAGATACAATGACAGCTAATCATCAGAAACGACTTGAACAACTTCATTTGCGAGACGGTTTTTCATTTGGCTCATATTACACGCACCGTGGCGGCATATGCCTCTATGGCTCCAGCTCTTTATGCCCTTTGCCCAGGCTTATGCGGCGCCCGCGTCGAACTCATGCACAATTAGTCACTTGCAAGTCAATTAAATTCCCAGCGCCTAACCACAACAGACGCCGGGAGAGCCCGCTGGCCCTCTCCTAGCCCAGACAGGCACGTATTGGGTGGGATGGGTTCGAGTCTACCTGTGGCCGGGTCTCGGAATGTGACTGAGGACACGACCACGACTGCGGCCTGGGACTGCGTCACGCTGTTGTAATGCTCTGGCGCTTATTTGCAGTAAAAAGCAATGACAACGGCGGCGACAACGACAGCGACAACGACTACGACGCGAGAAAATTACACAGACATAGAGAAAGATAGAGAGAGAGAGGGAGAAAGAAAGAGTGCGGAGGGGCGTGAAAGACAACGCACATGGACAGAGGCTCAAGCGAAGGTGCTGGCTAGGGGAAAAGTAAAACAAAACCATATTATTAACGCCTCATTAAACTTTTAACGATTTTAAATTACAGACTGCAAACGAGACCAGCCTAATGAATACAAATTAGCCGCACAAGAGCTGTTGACTCTGACTTGGCAAAAAGATACAAAACATGCATTAGACGTAGATACAATTGTATCTGCAACTATGTGTGCTCGTGTGTGCCTGACAACTGAGGCCTACGACAGCCTTAGAAACTGACAAGCAATGGGCCTAGATACAATTGTATCTGTAGCTATGGAGCCTATGACAATAATAAAATCAGTCTACTAAAAGATGAAGAACATGAAATGGACATAGATACATGTAGTATGGTAAGAGATGCATAACTGATATATGCATTAATAAAACTGTATCTGCAAGTAACAGCAGCACATCTGTGTATGTTTATAGATACAATTGAATCTGCTGCTAACTACAAACCTGAATCTGCCTATAAAATGTACATATGTATCTACGGATTGCATCTGTATCTCTGTATAGAAGTATGCATAACTGTATCTGCAATGTGTATAAATGAAATTTGAGTTTAATTTGTAGCTGCATCTGTGCATAGATACATTTGTATCTGCATGTAGCCATTGCATCTGTCTCTATGTTTAGCTACAATTCTTATATCTGTAATTGGGAGACCTACGACAATAGTACGCAAGGCCTATTAAAGCAAATAAAGCACGCAAGAGTCATATACACAATTGTAACTATGTCTGCATAGAGTGAGTGTGCGATGTGTGATATGTGAGGCCTGCGACAATAATACGTGCTGGTCTGGCATTCCGTGTCCGACTGTCTGCAAATGACTTTTCAATGTAGCAACATTTGACACGCGTTATAGCTAATTGTCATTAATTGTTCGAAGAGAGCTAAAATAGCCGCTCGCACCTTCCCTCGGTACGCCGGGCCATGTGATTATTAATCAGGCATTGGACATTTGACAGCTGCCAGTTGATTCGTTCGCTTGTTTAATTGTAAACACTTGTTAAATGCAAATGAGCATATATGAATATATATATATATATAAACATATATATATTTATATGTTTAGATATCTACACACGATTCGCACGACAGACAGGTCAGGGCCTCGACTCGAACGACATTTTATATATATCACGACTTGGCTCCAAATTTTTTGCCAAACCAACTAATGCATATTCAAAGTGTTTCATTCGTTCGTTAGGCCTAGTCACATTTTAGCATATTTTTTGTTGCTTATATATATATATTTACAAAGATATATATATATATATATATATATATATATATATATATATATATATATATATATATATATATATATATATTTTTTTTTGCCATTAAAGTTGCGTTCGCATGGCAAATTAAATGTATGTCATTAAAAAATTAACTGCTTCCGTTCATGCTAACAAACATATTCATATATATAGATATATCTTTTTTTAGCCCCACATCGGTGGCGAAAAGCAGAAAGAAATTAACAAGAATTTGGACAACAAAATACAGAAATGAGTCGTAAATTACAATTTTCTTTTCAACTATGATGTATCTGTTAATTGTTGCGAAACGCAGACGCACAGCTACGAGTATTTAAAATTCTTATATTTATTTATGATTTTGAAAGACATAAAAACGCGCTTGGCTCATAAATCATACACAAAAAATGTGCTAAAAACTAATTTAGTTCTTGGTTGCCTACAGAGAAAAATATGCATTAAAAATTCATTAAAAAATTATGAAATTAGATTTCCGCGTGAGGTCAAAACAACTTAATTATAAACATATCAGGCAACATCTAAAATAATTTACTTAATTTACTTTGAATACATTACATAAAAATATGTCTAAAAACTCATTTATAAATTATATTTGCTCCAAATAATTTTACAAAATAATTAAAAGAAATCGCAACTATTTTTTCTTTGGGCATCGTTTCAGTTGTTGTTGCTGCTGCTGCTTTCTGCTTTACGCCTCGATTTAATATCAAAGCAAAGCCGACAGCACAAAAGATACAGATACAGCTCCCCGTGCCCCTCTTTGGCTCCGGCTCTATCTCTCTCTCTGCGTCTGTCCGTCTGTCTGTCTGTCTACTGCTGCACATCCTACGCGGTCTTCCACTTTGTTAGTTTTTGGCATTTTGGCAAGCAACCAGAAAATACAACAACAACAACTCATGTTGAACGTAACATAAACTTTGTGCCGGCTTCTGGCTGTTTGAATATATATTTTTTGCAGAATTTATTTAAGGTCTGCTTGCAAGTAGAAAACATTGCGAATGCACAAAACAGCAAAGGCCAGGCAAAGACTACAAATTAAAAATCGAAACGAAATCTCAATAGAAATTTACAAAAAGTCAACAAAGAAAAAGTGATCAAAATTTATGCAAAGTCTCGTGCGCTAAGGCAAACCAAAATCAAAACTGAACCGTGACGAGCTAAGCTCGAATAGCAGTTGGCCAAGGAGTGCCGGGGGCGAGGTGTCCAAGGGTCTACTTTGGAGAGTGGTAAACGGTCAGGCAGGCACTGTGTGGGCGCGTGTGAGAGTTGCCATTAAATAATAAGCCAAATACAAAAACAAATAATTTAATCACTGAAAGATACGAGAACAGGTTGTCTGAGCGATCGATGAATCGTTTGTGGCGTTTGTCTCAGTCTTCTTTTTGGTTGTTTCAAATATGTATATATATATCGAAAAATAGATTTCATTTTTATTGAAATTATGACATTCATCTTAATTTGCGCTAACACATAACTTATTCAATTTTATTTCTTATTTGCAGGTGTGTATCTACTGCGAACAGGTTTTCTTGGCGAGCATTCAGCGTATACAGATAAATGGTTATCCAGACAAAATATGAAGACGATTAAGCAGATGCCTAACCAAATTTTGAGACGTTCAGAAGAAGCCAAACCAAAGTATTCATAGCTCAGTTTATTTAACAATTGAGAGACCCAGTCTTATCTTAATTTCAAACTCCACTGCAATTATCTGATTATGTAAAGAGCATGCGCCTCGTTTCCATTGGGACCTGGCACAGTCCATTGCAGCTGACACATGGATTTCACATGGATGCGTGCGTGCTCTGCCGCTAGTAATTTAATTAAAATGCAAGTGTATCAAGGCCTTTGCGCCGCATTTGTAGCTGAAGCCTCTCAGATCTATCCACATATCTATTCATATATCCAGCCATGTCCACGCGCATGGACATGTGTGCGCCCGATGTTTGTGCTGTCATTAATCTTTCGACAGCAGCGCCTACTGCTCCTCTTCAGCTTCAACAACTGTGAAAATTGTTTTGCTGCGCATTTTCAATGGCAAGGCTTTGTTGCTGTTGTTGTTGTTGTTGTTGTTGCTGCCGCCGTTGCCGTTGCTGTCTAATGATCGCGTGCAGTTTTTCGTTCATAATGGGGCCAGGCGTCGTCATATATCATAATTGTGCCAAACTATGCAAGCAGATACAAACGAGCAGGCGTCTATCTATGACTCGTTTATGGCCGCAGATACTTGGACTTGAGCTTGAAGCCGGCTTTAGGCCAGATGCAGATTTAAGCCGCTTGATTAATGTGTTCAATGTGCACACTTGTCAGTTGTTATAAATGTACTTTGTTTTCTGTTAATCACAGCCGCTAAATTCCCAGCTCACAATGAACCGTGAACCCTGCTCTGTCGTAAATTAATGATCCCTTAGAATGTGGAAATCGCTTTGTTTAATTAAATTCATAAATCCAGCTTGAGCTTAGCTCAAGCTTAGCCATGGCCGCGCATTCCACAAATAACTGTATGCCACCCACTGTGCGGTGACAGGCTAGCGAGTGTGACAATTGAATTTTAACATATTCATAAGCGAATTATAATAAAATGTGGAGAAAAAACTGTAACAGAAGTGTTGAGATCGCACTAATTACATGTCAAGCGGCCCACACACTCGCAGCCAACACCTTGGCGCATAAATTTACAACAAACGACGCATGTCGCCCGCCTCGCCCCGAGCTGCCGCCTTGTCGCAGTCAAAACTGTTGCATGTGGCACTTTGTAAGTTTGTTTTTTTTTTTGCCGGCTGAAAAGTGTCAAATGTGAAATTTATGCCCGCAGACAGACTGTCAGACAGACAGCCAGACAGATAGGCAGACAGACGCATTTGCAGTCACATTCACAGCGCACGCGCAGCCACCACGCCCTCTCTGTCCTGCCCCCATGCCTCTCTTTTGTCCACATAGGAAATTAGCACACGCTGTCACACACACACTCACAGAGTAAACAAAAAAAACAACAAAAAAAGATTTAAATAAAAGCCAAAACAAGTTGTTAACTTTATTAGCGTTCACTTTGAGCTTTGTGCGCAGAGACAGAAATGCGATTTGCATAAAACGCGACTCGCAATTAGTTGGCATGCAAATCGCATATGGAGACATGGGCCTACAGGCCTAGCTGTGCCCCCGGTCTGCGGGTCATAACTCAAATGCCCCAGCCGTAGGGCAAGCACTGTGCTCGAGCAGACAAAATGTAACTACGAATTCGCTACGTGCGCGTCTTGGCAAAAGTAGAAAAAATCCCTTGCAAATCGTTTCTTGTTAATGGCTGTATTTAGACTCGACAGAGCGGGAAGGTGAGCTGTAGGTAAGCGTATTTGGTTTCTGTTGAAATACAAGTATACTTGATTACCTCGTAATTGCTCAGAGAGATAGATCTGAGATATTGTCAAGTGAGATCTTAGCCCAGTGACAACTTCTCTTGAAATTCTGATTCTTTGACTACATTATCTTTATTTTAATTCCACTTTTTTCTCTAAGTGTTCATATTGCACACATAGACACAGCTCAGTGACTGAGTACCTCATGTGTTCTACCTCCGCCCAGCACGTGGTCTAGGTTTGTTGGCATCTTAGTCATCGAAGAAGTACTTCATCTGTTTCGATTATAGGCAATCTCGACATTGTCTACATTTACTGCTTCTAGATATAAATATTTACCAAAACATTCGCTCTATGTCAACATCTTTTACAGCATTTTAATGTCTTGCTTTTACTTTGATTTCAAACAAGAGATCATTAACTTTATTTGTTGCTCATTTGGTGCTGCTTTGTCTCAGCTTTAGAGCTGCAATTTCAGTTGCAAATGCATTCGCTGCGTGTCACGCAGACTCATTCACACACACAGCAATTCCATTCATGTGTGTTGTTTGTGTTGTTTATTAAATGTTGCTTGGTTGTTAAACGACAAGCATTGTCGCCGTCGCCGTCGCTGTCGCTGCTGGGCAAACAAATTGTTTGCGCTTTTATGTGCATTCGAATATGAAGAAAATTCTTGTCATTCAAATGAGCATTCAACAATGCACGCACACGCACTCACCCATGGGAACAACAGCAACAATATATTCATAGCTTGTTGTTGTCAATTTTTATAGATATTTCATGAATGCTGCGTGTGTCTATGCTCTATATATACATATATGTTGGCTATACTCACGAGTACTGACACTCACACTCATATTCTTATTCTTATTCATATGTTCGCCTGTCAGAGTCAGTTCAAGGCTATTTTGATTGATGGCCTTGTGTGGTGTCCGCGTGTGTGTGAGTCACGCAGTTACTTTGATAGTTTCTCTCCACGCTAGAGACACTATAGACTAGTCAGCTACTTAATGCTTGCCTTTTTTCTGCCCGCCTCATTAGTGCAATTGAAGAGTTTTTACCGTGAGCATTCAGCAGGGAGAAGGAGAGAAAAAGTGCCTAAGCCGTTTGCTCATTTCCTGTGGCACTGCGTGGGAATCGTGGCCCCGAGCAGGTGGAGTACGCGCGTAGTTTAATACATTTTTAATTGCAAAGCCGTTTGGTCAACGAAAAAATAAAATGAAGAAAGAGGCGTTCCCAATTGCAGACGAGAATTGTTTGTTTGCTACGTGCAACCTGCAATTGGCAGCTTCAACTTTCACTCGTCGTACTTCGGTTCAGAGGAAATCTGTCCCCCGGGAGAATTCTCTGCAATTACAAGCGGCGAGCGATAATAAAAAGCCAACGCATAAATTACGGCCCAAAATTGCTGGAGTCACTCGCTGTAAAGAAAAACATAAACAAAATCAAGCGCACCGAAAGCAACAACAAAAACAACAAAACTTTATAAGGAAGTCGAGAGTGCGGCACGCTCGAAAATGCGAATGCGAGTGCTTAATTGAAAACAACGCACAAAAAGCGTCTCGTCTGCGACCTACTTGGCGTATACGTAATTACAAATTTATGTGAACGTCACTCGATATGCGCTCACAACAACAACAATAAAACAAAAACAAAACCCAGCAACAACAATCGCAGCCAGCTTAACTAACTTGGCACGAATGCATAATTCATGCGAGTTGGAGCTGGTGCCACAGCCACCGGCGACACTTGCCACGCTGCCACAGGAATCGCCAGTCGCTTGCAATAAGGTGCTCCAGTCCGAAATTGGAGTTAACATAAACGAAAAATTCCAGCTGTAATATTTAATGACTATAAGTCGCTTAAGTTTAAGTACAATTGTGGCGCAATGGAGAGGTTTTGGGCGCAGTCTGATTGGGATCTGAAACCTTTGACCAAACTGAAAATGTTGACAAGCGACTATCTTGAAAAGGCTAAATGAGTAGACTGCATTTGGTTGAGTTATTTTATATATACATATTTTAAAGAGCTGACAATACTTTGTACACTTAAAGTCACATTAAGTAAAGAAGACGTTGTATTCAAAAGAAGCGACTCACACGAATGTAAACAGCTGCAGATGTGCGAGTCTCGAAATTCATTTGATTGCTGAGTAATCAATACTCGAAGTAGTCAATACAATTATTGCCAATTGATTTGATGTAAGCCCTGTTATAATGGATGATTAGTCAATATGAAACTAAAAGCCAGGCACAAGTATAGATTTGCATGAGCTGAAAAAGGTTTACAGTTATAAGTCTCAGATTACATTTGGTCGAGTTACATTCCTCTTGATAAGGTACCTGGCACCAAGTCATTAAAACTTCAAGTACGAAGTCCACTTGAGCAACTCTCAACAATCCCCTCTAACAACTCGAATTCAATTGCAACTGCAATTGCGCCTGCGCATCGTTTGCTTGGGCGTCTGCCACACACGAAAATATGTCTGGAGGCTAACTGGAAATCAATAAGCGCGCACACGCTACAAATTGTGGCAGGCCCACGGCTGTTGCAGTTTCGATTTCGCAACGTATCTAATGAGGCGCAAAAGTGGGCGTGACAGCCGCCTGTTTGTGGCAGCGCAGATGTCAGCAGCTTTGCTTACAACAGTTTGCACTTACATGCAGCACTCGCCACTTTTAGTTAGTTTTCTTTTTCTTTTTTTTTTTGGCCAAGTGGGCCGAAAACCCGCTCCTGGCGGCAGCAACAGCCAACGACCGACGACAGATGAAGCCATTAAATTGGAAAAAAATTTAAAAATAATATTGCTGTATTTGTTAATTGGGCAAGTCCAATGAAATTACATTACATTTTTTCACAATAATTTTTTCCCCATTGGCGCAGGTTACAAGAAAATTACATTAACTGTGCTAGCGTATATGAAAAAGCAGCTGAACTCTCTGAAAAGGCTCGCAACGTTTTTATATATATTTAATTACACTCAAATAAAGCTCTCAAGTATTTGTCAGCATGGCAAAACATTTCTTAGTAATTATTTATTTGCGGTTTAAATAAAAATCATCGGTATAAACTTGGCTAATTCCTATGAATGAATGCTTAGGCATTCAGAATATGTCAGCTACAAATCTGTATAATTGCCTCCGGGAAAAGAGCGGGGGAGCGAGATAAAAATAGAAAATCTCAGCATACAGAGATAGGCAAATACCTGCCAGATATGAGAGATTATTCACAAGAATATTCTCAACGATGATGTGAAGAAATTGTAGAGATAAACTCTCGAGCAGATTAGCAAATGCAAAAAAAAAAACATTAGAATTAGAGCTACTGTTAGGAAAACTGGGCACGCATTTGAAAATTGTGAAATCATCACGAAAAACGGCGGCAAAAATTCTAGCAACCCGAGAGCAAATTACGTGCGCCGCATGAGCAACAAGACGCACAAAGAGCCAAAGGCAACCACAATGAATGAATGCACGAATGAATGAATGAATGAGTGAGTGAGTGAGTGAGTGAGTGAGTGAGTGAGTGAATGGGTGAATGAATGGGTGAGTAAGTCGGTGAGTGATGCAATGAGCAGCTACCAGTTACCTAGGCGAAAGACAACAGGCGCTGCCAAAAACAAAAGCCAACTGAAAAACTAAAGGAAAAGCAAGGCAATAGCGGAAAATCTGTGCATTGTTTGCTCTCGCGCTTGCCACTGCCAGTTGCCAGTTGCCCCCGCTCTGATCCAACATTCAACATTCTGTCGGCATCTTTTGTTTGCCATTTTGTTTGCTTTTGCGGCTTCAACGTAAACACTCAATATTTATTCCTTTGTATTTGCGCCGCCGTCCCGCCTCGGCCACACCTCGGCGCAGTCGCAGCCACAGCGTGAATCCTTTTGCATTAACTCTGATTTTTTATGGCCGGAGCTATTTTACGCTTTGCCTTCGACTTGGGCACACGATTTTCGTGGGCGTAATTGAAAGCCGCCCCACACACAGAACTACACACACACACACACCTACACCCACAATGATGCATAGCAAATTTGTAAGCCAACTATTTAGTGGCCAAATCAAAGGCAGAGCGACGTTGCGATAAATCGCAGTCGGCCCATGCGGCGTATGCGCAATTGCTGCAAAAACAGCCGCCGGGGTTAAGCTTCCCTCATTGCTGTCGCGGGTGGGTGGGCGCACTTGTCGGTTATCCCACTGCCCACACCCCCACTCCACCACCCTCTCTCCATCTCACTCTCTGATTGCTGTATTGGCAGTAATAAAAATGTCGAAACGAAGGCTTGCGGGCATTTGCCGAATACTTTGCAATTGTTGAGCTTCATGCGATTTCAATGGCTTTATCTGTTTATGTGTCTGTATAGGTGTGTGTGTGTGTGTGTGTGTGTGTGTGTGTGTGTGTATTGTAAGTGAAGCAGTGGCCAGCGTTAGGCAAATATTGAAGCATTGAACACGTTTCAGCTAAATTGCATTTTTATTGCCACCTACTGCAGGCTTTGTGGGATTCGTTAAAGCAGACGTATTGAGCTACTGCTAATATACTAATGGACCTCTACTAAGTCTAGTATAATAATTAAGAGATTTAATTTGTATGCATGAACTCTGTATGCAAGTTTTTTATGCCCTCAACCTTAATTGCTTTAACATCGTTCGGTTTCATACAAT